AATCTCAAACAACCTTGTCTGACAGGCTGGCTGACAGGCTTTAACTCGCTGCGTGTTGTTGTTGGTGTGTGTGTGTGTGTCTCAGCGTGTGTGCTGTGTTAGCATGGAGGGTGGGTTTGTCTCTGAGTAGATCAGGAGGGGGAAATTAACAAAAAGAAAAAAACGGGGAGAAAAAAAAAAACAAATAATGTGAAAGAAAATAAATGTAATGTAATAAACCCAGGCTGTGTTGGGGCATATGCTTGTGTGCACATAAAAGTGTGTGTGTAAGTGTGTGTTAAAGAGTCATGCAGGGGTGTGGATCAGTCTGTGCAGCAGGGGTTGGGTCTTATGGCTTTAAATCGCTCCGGGGGTACAGGGCATGTTTTTCGGCGATAGATGGGTTATGGTGGGGGTTTTGTGTGCGTGTGCGAGTGTGTGTGTACGCGAAAAGAAACGTATTTAGACCTCACTAGTGCTATTAGAGTTGGAGAGATGAACACACGGCTCTCCAGGCAACACACACGCACTTTGTCTCCACCCCCCCAGAGCTTCATTAGCAGGTCATTAGAAACAACTTCAGTGAAAGCTGTTGTTCTTTGAGAAACAGTTTTGCTCGCCTGTGTTCACAGAAAAGATGCCATGTGTGGAGCATGTCATACAGACGACGCATTATTTTATTGAAAATAAATCTGGCTTCTTTTACTTGCTGTAGATGAATCCACCTGCTCATGTATGTGCTGTGCGGTTACTGTGATGACATAGTCCAACTGAGGCATGAATGTTTGGGCTATAACACTGGATCTAGGAGATAAATAAAAAAACAAAAAACGTGCCAGTTTCATCCAACTCACACTGCATGGATGTGATTGTGTTATTTATGATGACTGCTCGCGATGTCATCACGTGAAACACAAAATGTCTGCTAGCCTGGCTCTGTCCAAAAAGTTACGAAATACATCTACCAGCACCTCTAAAGCTCCATTATTAACACGTTATATCACGATTAGTTAAAGGACCAGTGTGTAGGATTTCGTGGCATCTAGCATCTCATACAGCTCACCCTTCCAAGCGTGTAGGAGAAACTAGGATGGTTATGGAACTCAAAGAAGGAGACGCGGTGGACTCTGTGTACCTTCTGTGCATAAAAATGTCTCACTCTAAGGTAACAAAACCACAATTTTTATTTCCAGGTGATTATACACTGATAAAAACATACTTATGAATGTAATATTCCATCCGCCTAAATGTTACACAATGGACCTTGAATCTGTACAAAAAAGACTAAGTGCAAAAACAAGAATGTGAACATTTCTCTATGCAAAAGCTGTACAAGTGTTAAAAAATAAAAATCCTTTTTATACACTGCATTACTGCACTGGAATCCAAGTTAGTTGCCGTCGCAGTAATGACTGCTTGTTTACTTTATCCTTCTTCCCAACATTCTTCCATATCTGAAAGCTTTTCTGACTCATCACAAGATGACCTTGTTTACTGCAAACCACAGTGTCTTTCTTCCAGCAGGAGACACAACAACTTGCGGGTGTGAAGGGACCAATCGACTCCTTGAATCCAGGCACTTTTTTGATACAAATGTATAACAACTGACAACAAGAATCCTTAGCAATGCAACACCCAGTTCCTGTTCTGACCTGCATATGCTGTGGAAACATTACTCCATCGCTGAAGTATGACAGACAGCTCTGGCGCTGACATGAATATACACTTTCTGCATGCATTAAATCACATATGCATACATTTGGTATACTTGCGCTGTCAGATCGCTGACAAATCGTCAGCAGAGACAGCTGAGGGGTGATGGAGGGAGATAGAGAGATGAGGAGAGGCTGGCAGAGAAGCAACAGGAGCTGCTGTTTGTTGCTGATTTTGTTTTCCTCCTGCGAGACAGCCTGAACCTTCACTCTTTTTGCCTCCGCTGCCTCTCTGAGTACCGTGCAGAGAGAGATTTATCACATTAACCACAGACCCTTTCGCTTAATGCCCTCCTACAAAAAAAAAACACCAACAAAAAACGGCACCCTTTCCAACTGTTCCTTCCCTAAACCAACATGGCTGCCGGTTGGCGCTGCCAATACCGGTGCCCTTTTCTCCAATTTGGCCCCCGTCCAGCTTTCCACTCTGATTGCATCTCTCCCTGTTAGGGCCTTGGGTTTGGAAGGAGAGATAGAGCGAGGGGTGGGGAAGAGTGCCAATACAAACATTGTTCCACTGGCTTTTTACAAGCCAGGAGAGTGGGGAAGTTAATAAGCAGGTATTGGTTTTTAACTGCAGCCCGTTTATTGCTTTGCCCTCGAGCGTGCTGGAGTGCTGCACTCCGCTTTTTTACTGTCCATCTGCCCATCACTCGGCTAACCTCTCGTTCAATTTCTCCCTCTCTGTGTCAGCTCTCCTTTTGTCTTGCCTCGTTCAGCAATTAATTCACCATCCTCATCATCCATTTTTTACCCCCTGACTCCCCTCACCTTTTTCTGACCGTCATTTTTATTTTAAGCAGAGCGGGGAGCGAGCTTAAAAACATATAATAAACAAATCCTACACCAACCACTTAATGATCTGTCATTATACCGCTATTGATTCAGTGTTTTGAGAGTGTGTGTGACGGAGTGTACTGTATTTATTGGTTAGGTTTAAACCACATCCGTCTGTCAATACTGCACTTTTTATTAAAAATCGAATGTCAGCCAGTAAGTGTTGTCCAGCACTGACATGATAAATATTATGCAGGTTTAATCATGTACATATTATGCCTTTGATCAATGTCGTCTAGGTCTCTATGGGCAGTTCTAATTTTTCCTGCACTGTCACAAACAAAAAAAAGAGTTTACTGGGGGCTAAGAGTCCCTGGTACTCCCAGTATGTTTTGCATACAATCTTGCAGCTAGAGCCTGCAGTTTCTTATTGTGTTGTTTCATCTTTTGAATGATGAACACTGAATTTAAATATAACCGTGTTTGTTAACACGAAAACACCACAGGGGACATTTAAGTATCAGGTCTTCATCAATCAAACTAAATGTGATTTTAAGACGGGTTAGCGCATTCCAAACGAGCATAATGTGTTGACATAAATGCATACAAATGCAGGATATAGAATTCATAAAGTTCTTTTTAAGTTCTTTTTTTCTTAAGATTGAAGAACACTTCCTAGAACTCCACTTCAGAAACCAAACTCATGCCCTTGCAAGCAACTACAATCCAAATTTAGTGGTGACTTGAAAAAGCCCCAAACATAACAACCAGCTAGAGATGCCGCAGGAGAGAACAGCTAGTGAGGAGAAGGGACGACCAGACAGAACACAGGGATGGAGGGTGTTATGGTGTAGAAGAAGGCGATTTCATGTTCCCATAATCCTGAAACTGCTGCAGTATGTGTCCTCCCCAGGGCTGTTTCACACCTCCAACAAGGGGATAAGTGACTAACTCTCACAGCGTAGGAAAACAGACCAAATTTAACATACTTATTCCACGAGCAATTAACACGGTGACACCGTGCAAAACAACAAGCTTGACTCTGAATTGGGAACCCAAGCACAAATCCCGGGTAGCTCTTGTGGGATGCGCAGTATCCACCCTGTGCTGCCCACGGGGGCTATCTGCTGATTCAACTGACAGAAGCAAGCGAATGCAGGCGCTCAACTGATGAGATTCCAGTTAGCCGGTGCAGCCAAGAAGAGAGGTGGGGAAGCAGCCAATAGCCCTAGCAGGAGGGATCAGGGGGCCTCTAAATATCCACCCAGGGCTAAAAGAGTGAGCGCTCCGGCCCGGTTCCTCTATCGCTCTCCTGGGCCGCGGGAGGGAACAATGGAGGAGAACGGCGCAGACGACATGAAAGAAAGCCAATGCCACAGCATCAACACACTCCTTCACACTCATGCGTGTCCGGATATGCAGAAACTAGACGCAGGCGAGCATGCAAACACCTGTTTTTGAAGTGTTTTTGGCCTCTAGTGGCGCTGTAGAGCAATGTCTCAATGATTGTGCTATACAGTATCACTGCATGCATGCCACGAGCACGGTTTATTGGGCAATAGCGACAAGTTGTATTATTTATTTTAATGTTCAAATATTTATTGGGTGAGGCTGGGTGACATGGCAGGAATTAGACAAGCAATTTAAGTAAGTAAATGTGAAAAACTTTTAACTTTCCACATTGCTTACAGTTATCACACAGTATGATTATATTCCCAAAATATGATTCTATTGATCATTGATAAACACCATTGTGCTACTGCTACTAATTTAGCTTTTAATAAAAGGTTTTTAGGGGATCCTTACTTTGGCTGAACACATAGCTCCTAGCTAGGCCTGCACATCAAATTGCCTGATGTGTTTGTCTGACTACATCTATCAAATCAAAGGGAACTTAACCCCCCCTGTGGTTTCAATCAATTTCACCCACATATCACCAATTGGTGATAGTTAAAGGTAACAATGTGCTGAAAAAGGAGGACAAGAAAAAGGCAGCTTGTGGATGTAGACAATGCAGATTTATAAATAATTTTTAAAATCAGCTTTTCAAAAAAATTGTAGGAGTTAGAAAATGCATTCAACATGTTTGTTAGGCCTTAAGGAGTGTCCCAGCCAGCCATGGCAGCGAGCCAGCATACACAATACCAGGACCCTAAAACTAAAGCAGCTAAATGGAATCCAGCCATCATTCATTTTATATATCATCTACAGTGAAAAAGGGTTTATATAATGGAAACAAGCTGTTTACAAGAAAAACTCCACAGCATGCCTTTAACATGGACAAACTAACACTGACACTCAGTTGCTCACCTGCTCACCCTTTCAGTCACTTGGTCACTCACATGCTTGCAAATGCACTGTGGCAGCGGTGTATTCACTCACGCACCCCCCACACACACACACACACACACACACACACACACACACACACACACACACACACAGGTTGGGGCGGGGCCGCCTCAGGGTGCTGCTGTAAGTGTGTGATTAGAGGAGAAAGTAGGCAGAGGAGAATCGAGGACACACACTCACCCCTGTTAAGGTCTTTATGTTATGCAGTGCATTCTGGGCTTCAAGGGCAGCTTTCCTTGTGTAAAACGTGACAAAACAGCAGCCTGGGGAGAGAGAGAGAGAGAGACAGAGAGAGGGGATGAGCATAAGGAGCAACAAAGAGCATTTTCTCTATTCATCTGCTTGGCATCACCTGTCGACACTGGCAGACGCTGAGTGAATGCTAAGGACGAAACATCCTAGCGGAGAGGAAGGCAACGCTTTTGGATTCGTTTCAACGCTGATGACTAGAGCCTCGAGGAAGTGAGCGCGCGCACACACACACACGCACATAATGCAAAGGCGCAGAGACAGAGGAGGTGGTGGAGAAAGGGGTTGCCTCTTCATTAATCCTGGTGAACAGTTACTTACTCACTCATTCACTAAAGGAAGTATTCATTCATTTATTTATTGCCCACACTCCCTCCCTCATTCACTAATTCACACACTTATTCTGAGTAACTGATTTTGTAGACGAATAGGTTAAAACCTGACAACGTTTAGCTGAAAAGTGCAAGGTCTTGGTAACGTATAAATGCTGTTTGAACTGCATTTCAAAGGAATATATTTCCGTGTATAAGTAGCTGGTCCACATTGAAATATCTTTATTCAAATAGCTTTGCATGCTGTTGAAAGAACAGTTGTATTCTGAAAACTAGCCAGAATACCCCAGAAGGAATGGTGCTCATTCTCTGATTGGTTAGACCAAAATACGCTACTTCCACTAACATGAACAGAATGCCAGATTAATTAATACTGAATAAACGATACAGCAATTCAGTGTGATTATCAGGCTACTAAAAAAATTGTTTTAATCCAATTTAAACCCTGATTTAACCTTGCCTACAAACCCGCAAATTACCAAATAAAAGCACATAAAAGTTGCTTACTCACACACACACACACACACACACACACAGAGTACTGTGTCTGCGCACACACACACATGCATGGGCATACACAAACACAGCGAAGAAAGTAGAAAGCAGGAGAGGGATTTTGGCTCTTCATTAATCTGCGTGTAATCCCTGCAGAGTGGGGCTGAAACACTGCAGTTGTGGGCCATTCTCAGTCAGCATGCAAACCTGCAATGTCAGGCGAAAAAAGCAGCAGGAGGACATTTAGGCCAGACACAGAGGTGCGACTCTTCTATTTTCCTCATATGAACAGCAGCTGTTATTTATTTCATTTCTGTCAAACATCGGAAAAGTCACAGTATGGTCTGTATTTATGTCCTCGTGACACTTTTGAAATTATTATCCACCAGCCACGGGGAATCTTAAAAAACAAGACTGAAGAGAACGGTAGGATAAAGACTCTTTGAGCCAACCATAAAATATGGAGGCGGCACTGGTGAGTCAGTCAACTGGAAGAACAAATTGGAAGTGCGAGATTCATGATGCATCATCGGGAACAACGAAGACCTGTGTTTTATGTGATGGCATGACCTTGAGCACAGCATCTATCTCGGACTGTAGAGCAGCTCGTCTGCTCTCTCAAGTTGCCATTCTGCAGAGGCCAACAACGTGAACACAAACATTTGTGAATATGTAAGTAATACAGCATTAAGAAAACTGGACTTTTTAGGCCAATAGTTGATTGTAACAACAACAGATATGACTGAGGTGCTTTATATACTAAGCAGGGCATGCTCCAGTTGAAGATGTTAGATGTGATAAGCTAAAACTGGCATATAATATAGACCATGCCAAAGTACTGGTTGGGCTCCAGTAAGCAATAGTATTGTACTGTGTCTGTTATTTTTCTATATCAGTACACTTCAGAGTGTATTATCACACTAACTGACACCTAAGTTTAATTGCCATTTTAGCTCGAGCCTACGTCCATTTCAGTGAGCGAGAATTACCTTTAGCAAGTAGCAACTTGCGCTGGTAGCAAGTGTATTTGCAGTTAAATAAACCTTACACATTGATTTAGAGAGGTGGTGCTTTGAGGTGACCTGTAGGGGAGACCGAGGGAACTATTAACATTTTTTGTTACTCAAAAACCCGTTGAACTATCTGGAGACAGTCGTTTTTAAAAAAAATTATAACAAACCACCATTTTGATGGCGTTGACACCATCGACCGTACCACCCATGACACAAGCTACCCTACTGGATAGAAACAACGAAGCAAAACATAAACTTGACAATGATCACAAACTGACATTTTCAGTGGCCCCTTTGATGCAAAAGGTATAGGAAAAATCAAGAGCCACCCCGAAACAGCTTAGCATTTGAGTTTACCTTGCATTTGACTAACACAATCAGTCCTAGTTGCCTTGATTAACAAGGTTAACACACATTATATACAGGTGAGCCACTGGTCCGTGCAGGTTTTAGCTTTGACATCGTCCTTCCAGTTGCTGCAGATTCATATGTTTGGACCTTCTGCCTCCAGCTTTGCTCATCTGTTAATTTTCTTGTGTATTTATTTGTCCACAGATGAGCTGTGAGTGTGCCATTGTTTACACCTGCTTTGTTGTCCTCTCCATTGTCTTTATGGCACGAATCAACTCATTGTGAATGAGGCGGACTGGTTGTGGTTTTGTTGGCCATATCGCAGACATCAGCCCTTATGACACTTGCCCTGCAGTGCATCTTAGTGAAATCCAACAGTGAGCATCTGGAGCAGATTTGGCATCCGAATCCCAGAGTCCCTTTGATGGGGCTGGGAGCGTAATGGATCTGAATTCCTGCGGTGTCCTCTGGGTGCCACGGCTGTTGAATAGTTGGCCCTTAGCCTAGCGTCAGCAACGTGATTGGTGTTGTGATTCAAATGCTGCAGTTCCTGTGTATTAGCAGAGATAACTCCCAGCTTAGTGTTTTCTTCCCCGACCCCCAGCGTGAAAGGCAGCTCAGGGTGTCACTTCACTAAACCCTAAGCCCCCCCACTTCTGCTATCAGTATTAATTTACCACCGAGAGTTTCACATCAGCTTCTACTAGTTAAAGACACGGCGATAAGAGGGGAAATTAGTCACGACTGACGGACTATCACTGGGTAAAATATTATACAATTTATTCCATGTAGGTCACCAAACTAATATGGCTTTTACATATAACACTCAGTGGTGAAGTTGCTTCCACATACTGTAGATCTCTGGCAGTTCTGCTCCATCTTAGCTCTTTGTTACCATGATAAAAACTGGACTCACTAAGGATAACCCTTAAGTTAAAGTAATGAGACCAATATGGAAAATATCTACAAGTGGGAGCAAAACTAAACAAATATTAAGTGTCAAAAAGAAAAATTAATTATTTTGGAGAACTGGTCCACTACTAACATAATTTAGAGATGCAACAAGTGTAAATGTATATTGTAGAAGTAGTAGTAGAAGTATTCCGAAGTACTCCAAAACTAGATTTTAAGAGTTGTACACCCACACAGGTGTTTTCACTGCTACCTAACACTGAGTTCTGCTTGGGGGCATGTGAGTTTAAGTTAGGTCTCCATGAATTAATAAACGCCCCAAACCCCGACCCACACATGCTCCTTATGGTGACTTGAAGCAATGGCTTGTGAGGCAAATTTAACAAAATACCACATGTACCAGCAGCACTGTGAACAACAGAGACTAATAAACATATTACAAGCGGCTGAATCCCAGTACAGAAAGTTGCTGAACTCTTTCTGCCCGTGCTTAAAAGTTGTGGAAAAGTTATCCACACTATCTCTACTACCTTCTGCAGTTTAATTATCAGCTGATAGAGATAAAACGTCCTACCTGCCACCTGATATGCAGCCTGCACCCCGTTTAAAGCTTGTTTCCTTACATAACAAGCTGCATGCCGGCACGGCTGAATGGAGCACAGATAATAAAAACCATAAAGGTCTAAGATGTTCCACCTAAGCAGAGTGGGGAAGATTTCAATCAAGCACGGTCCTCAGACAGGGTCTCATCAGGCACAGTAAGTGAAGACACCTGTGCAGGTGTACCGTGGGTGTGTGTAGGAGGTTTAAAGCGTCTCCTATCACTCAAATTAAAATATATTTGACTACACAGAGCCACTCTAGACAGAATTGTAAAGTCATTGATACTTTGATAAAACATTCAGTAATTATTGTGTTCATTTTTTAAATTCAAGTTCAAGTACAATAGCTGTGGGTACTGTATGTGTACTGCTATTGCCTGTAATTTGAGTTTAATTGCTTGTGTAAAGTTTCTAGTTAATCTATTTTTATTTGTTATTATTATGTTTCTTTATTAATCTGTACTTATTTCTGTCCTTGTGCTGCTGTAACACTCCAAATCCACCTCTGGGCGATCAATAAAGGATTATCTTATCTTAAACACTGTCAGAGAGTAAAACAGACCTAGATTTTCAAATATTATCAATTGAAAATTGAACAAAATACAAATTTTCACTCAACAATTTAAACTCTTCAATCATACATTTTAGTAGAGTTAAAATGTATGAGGTAAAACAAACTATGGACTGGCCCTTTAAGTTCATTATTTGATTAAATGCATATGTAATAATGCCAAACTGACTCGTTAGCCGGCATCATGATCTCCATGCGAGGCGTGTTAACTTCTTACTGTTTTCATTATACTTCCTTGATGCAGAGTCAATGCTATGTCTATACAAGGGGGAGCTTTTTAGCATTGCCTCAGTATTGTACATTATAATTCCATTATAATTCCAATTGCACCTGTGTTCAAGCTTTGGCCCCTTGTGTGCGATTAGCAATTCCAATAGCACTGTGTGAGGGTTAGCTGCTAGCCGCACACTGTGAATTATGATTCCGGTGGCATTTTTCGTTGCATATCTGTACATGGGAGGGTTAGCTCTTGCTGTTAGCATTAGCGATTCTGACAGTGTATAATGTGCAGGGGAGGGCTGGCTGTTAGCGCTGCGTTTGCCGCTATGTGTTGTGATTCCCATGGCGTAGCCGGGCCTGGGAGCCATGCGGCGTGTGACGGATCGTCCCAGGTGGTGGGCTGTCAAGACGAGGATCAAAGAGCAGTGGAGTGGACCTCACGCACACACACACACAGACACGTTCCCTGCAGTGTTCCAGTTCCACCTGTTTAAGAGTCAGCACACTCGCAGCTCGCAC